TTTTATATATTAAATTATATAATAATATATAAAAATGGTATAAATAAGATAAGAGAATCTAAAAGTTGTCTAAGCAAACGCAACAGGGTAAGGGCGCGTGGGAGTTCACGATTCGCAGTGAAAATAAAATGAATTAGATTTAGCCATCACGCGACACGTGTAAAATTAATGATAAATTTAATGTCTGGAAAGATACATATCCCAGAATTTTCATTTCCATTTCCATAACCCTAGTCCACTGCGTCTTCCCCCTTTTGCATCTGCTCCTTCCTCTTTCGATCTCAAGGTATTGCTCTACCCACTTCTTCATTTTCTCTCCTCAACCTTAATTCACTGTTCTGATTCAAACCCAGTTTTTATTTTCTTCAATTTCTTCGCCGTTCTGTTCTGATTATAGTTTCCAAAGTTCCTTGATTGAGTTTATCAGTTTGTGTTTACTTTACTTCGAATTAGGAATTCCATCGCAGGAATCAAAATTAGTTATTACTTTCTTGTTTTTATGTGCTCTGTTGGTTTTGCTGGACTGATTAGTGGTGGGTTGTTTGGAGTTGAATTGGATTTAATTGAAGAAATGGCTGTAGATTCATATGACTGTAGTTATGAATCGATCTGAAGGTAGCTTGAATTGATTTTTTTTAATGGGGTTTTTGCTAAATTGCTTATTTGATTGCTTACTTTAGAATACATGTCTATGGACCATGGAGTTAGTGATCCTTTCTTCTTCTTATGTTTCTTGTAAATTTTCTGCTTATTTTGGTTTGAGTCCCAGGTAGAGGTTGTTCTTGCTTTCATTTCTAGAATTTTACTATTATTTTCTTATGGAAATATTTGAACATATACTATAGTGGTTGAATGAACTTTTATGGGTTCATATCAATGAGATGGATCTTTTGATATTTCATCACTTGGAATCCACTATTAAATAAAATTGGAGTTGTAACTTGTAAAATTAATTTTGGTGAAGCATAAGATTGGATTTAATGGAATTTTCCTTCTTTCTTGATTAGAATCATCCTTCTTTCTTGATTAGAATCATCCTTCTTTCTTGATTAGAATCATCCTTCTTTCTTGATTAGAATCATCCTTCTTTCTTGATTAGAATCATCATTGGTGATGCTGGCCTTGTTTTTGTTTTTGTTTTTCTCTTTGATGGCCTTGTACTTGATAATGAATTTCTTTATAATAGATATCATGCATAAGATATGGTGGGATAATATAACTTTCATTATTATCAAAAGTTCCTTTCAATTTGAAAATAAGAATTTTATTCTTCATGAGTTTCCTCCTTGAAGTTTTTGTACTTTCATTGAATCATTCTGCTATCTTCTCCTGTTCATTTATAGCGTCGCATTCTTTTATAGGTTTCTCCTTTCATTCCTCTTTTTTTTGTGCGTATGTTCAGGGGATCCTATTTCCTTTTCTATTTATTTGTTTTTGCATGATAATGACCATAATCAATTAATAATTACTTTGTCATGCATGAATTCAAGAAAATTGTTTTATTGTCGCTGTATATAAGTTTTATTTCTTGAATTCTGCCTTTAATGTTAATCAGATGTCCATCTTGTTTCACTGTTTTGGGCATTGTCCATATATCAGTTAAAAAAGACTTAAGGCTTCCTGGAACAAGTTTTGAGTTTTCTGTTTTGAGTTTTTTTTTTTTTTTTTGGAAGAGAGAAAGGGAGGAGAGAATGTCAAGTGGCAGAAATACACATTGGTGTTACAGATGCAGGCGGCCAGTTCGTCTTCGAGGGCATGATTCAGGGTGCCCCTATTGTAGTGGAGAATTTGTTCAAGAACTTGATGATATGGTACGTATCAGCCCTTATGATTTCTTCGGAGTAGATGGTGATGAAGATCGTGACCAGAGGTTTGGGCTTGTGGAAGCTTTGTCAGCCTTCATGAGACATCGGTTGGCTGACAGAAGTTTTAACCATGATATCAGGGGAAGATCTGATTCGGTCTCTGAGTTAAGCCAACCCTTTGGACCATTGTTGATTTTTGGTGGCCAAATTCCTTTTAGGTTGTCTGGGAATGGTGGGTTTGAAGCCCTTTTTAATGGGGCTCCTGGAATTGGCTTTGCACGGGGTAATGCTGGAGACTATTATATAGGTCCTGGACTAGAAGAATTGTTTGAACAGCTTTCAGCTAATGACCGCAGGGGCCCTCCCCCAGCATCTCGATCTTCTATTGATGCAATGCCTACAATCAAAATTGCACAGAGGCATCTTCGTTCTGATTCACACTGTCCCGTGTGCAAGGATAAATTTGAACTTGGTTCTGAAGCAAGACAAATGCCATGCGACCATATGTATCACTCAGATTGCATTGTCCCATGGTTAGTGCAGCATAATTCCTGCCCTGTTTGTCGTCAAGAGCTGCCACCACAAGGGTCTAGTAGCAGCCAGGGTCGTCAAAGCTCTAGCAGTCGAAGGAGGAGCAGCACTCTTGGTTCTAATTCCAGTGGAAGGGATAATGGCAGGGAGGGTCAACCAAGACGCCCATGGTCCTATTTGTGGCCGTTTCGTTCATCTAATTCTAGCTCAAACCACAATGGAGCAGCTGGAAGCAGCTCACCACCACCAGTGCATGAGAACAACCACCAAACGGGTTACACTGGGTGGCCTTTTGACTAAGTGTGTATTTTTCTGCTGTTGTAACCAGAATATAATACCCAATTTTATCTCCAGCAAGTTACAAGGACCAGAAGTGGTTTGTGTCATTCTAGTTTTAAAACGGTCAGTTTGAGAGAGATTGGGGGTCTACTTAATGCTGCATCTTTTATGTAAATGACTTTTACCGTCATTCGTGAAATACTTTGTGAATTTTCGATTGTGTTGTCTAGAATTCTATATCTGATGCGTCTGTTAATAATGTACGTGGTTGCTTTGCTCGTCATGCTGTGTTGGAACTTAAAATAAAAATGCTGGAATTGTATTTTTAATGTTAAGGTCATTATTGGAAGCTTCTGAATCATGAGAGATCGTTGCCCAGAAAATAGCAATCATGATAGATTATTGTTCTTTACATATATATGTAGGAAGTTAGTTGCTTGATATTGTGAGGGTATATACTTTTAATTTTGCTTTGAACAGTCTAGGTGTCTTTGGTATAGTTTTTGTATGTTTTGGAGATTAATTGTTTTTCGAGTAATTGTGCACACAACATTTTCCTATCCTAACAATCTTAAAAAGATATTCTCATATCTTTTGGTTGTTTTACTAAAACTAAACTTTAAATTTGATTTACAAATCAATACTTATCTATTAGTATATCAAAATGGTCATTGTTTGAATTTTCGTTGTTAGATTATTGTTCTTCGGCGGCGGTGAGAGTGGTAGAAAAATGGTTTTCTTCCTCTCATTTTCCCGCAAAACACGACATCAAACGTTATGTTAGAATTTAGGAATTAAGCCTAAATTAGCCAATGGACTTAGTTTCCTTTTCAATTATACCCTAAAACTTATTTTTATGCTAATTAAGCCGCTCCATTTTACATTACACCTAGTCAAGACCAATGTTAATTGTAGAAGTGGGTAATTGTGATGCTTTATTTATTTATTTTTTTATGATAATTGGGATACTTTATTAATTCTTTATCCATTCAACTCTCTTGTCTAATATCAACTCAAGGGCATTTTTTTTTAACTCTTTCACTTTTTATGTTTTCTTTTTCTTCCTCTCAAATCATACATACTCTACAAAATCTTTATTATTTAATGTGAAAGAGATAGATGGAAGCAAATTGCATATTTTATAACCATTGGTAGAAAAGTAATTATCCCAATTTTAAGAGCCTTGCATCTCATTAATAATTATAAAATATGTAGTTTGTGTAGAAACCTATAAATGTAAAAATAGATGATAAATTTATGTAAAAAGAACCTATTAACCTTTTACTTATATAATTAAAAAAAAAAGGTTTTCTCCTACCAAGTTATTCTACACCCAACTTTTCATATAGGATAAAGATGGTTGATTAAGACCAAATTTGCTAAATGCTCTGTCCAATATGCCCTAAGGTCGTCACAAATTGTATATTAGTATTAGGAAGTAGAACATGATACTTCTTCCTTCCTAAAATAATTATCATTTTTTTTTTTTGTTTTAAGTTTATCCCATCATTTTTTTTATTTTTTAAAGTAAACAAGTATTCCATTTCTATGTTAATCTTTTTATTATCTATTTATTGTAATAAATTATCTTATTAAAAAAATTTCATTATTTTAAAAAAAATATAATATATATAAATATATAAATTATTTCTAAATATTTAATTTTTTTAAAAATATATAATTATATAATTAAACTTTTCTTATACCATATAAAAATTTATTTATAATGTTACATGTGCCTACTTAATTTTCTGTCATTGTTGCAAAACCACCTGATGTTGGCATTGCGGCTCCCTTAAACAGCAGCCGTGCCTTCAGTGTTCTGAATACTGAACCAGACGCAACCATCGTCGGCACTTAAATAGAACGCTTTCATTTTGCTCGATTTGGGTGCAAATTGATTCTGCTCAGCGCAACATTGAGGAAAAGAGCTAAGTTCAGCGACTAGGTTTTTCCTCCGTAGTGCCATTTCCATTTCTTCTTTGCACCATGGCTAGAAACGTGGTTTCCGACGGAGAAGGTAGGTTTTTGCAAATCCCTAAATCTTCACCGTGAATTTCTACGGTTTCATAGAATTTATGTTGTTTTCCCGCACATTCTTTGCAGACGAGGCAGAGTTCGAAGATGAGGAACCGGAACCTGAGGGAGACGCTGTCGAGGGCGGTGATGAAGAAGAGGAAGAAGAAGAAGACGGTATGCTCTTTATCTTTTCTGATTCAGAGTCTTGAACAGATTCTGTTGTTTTGCGCTATCATGGTAACTTTTTTCTTGGCAGAAATTTCTTTCTTTAACTTTAAATGTCGATCTCACTAGTAAATCCTAAGGGAAACTGTATGGTTATTGTGCTAATTTCGAATAGTTTGAAGCCTCTGATCAGTTTTGTGTTCATATTTACAAAATCCTGAAGCTACCTTCGTGTCTAATCCCATACTTTTTTTTAGTTGTTTTTGTGGCCAATAAGTTCAAGGTTAGTGTATATTTTGATTCCTGATATATATATATATATTTGAAAATGTTGCCTTAATGTTTGGTTGCTGAGAAATTTAGTGGAACACATTATGTTGAGCAGCTAGGGTTTTCTGCTATGCATAGAAACTGTTATGGTTCTGAAGGCTAAACAAAACTGATGAGTTCTGTTTGGATGTTGAGAAAGTGGGAGAAAAGTCCAAGGAAATGAAGAGAAAGAGAAAAGATAGGAGGAGGATAGACCTTGTTGTTTGATTCAATGAATCAAAAAGTCTGGTTTATTACATATGGCATTCTACATGATTATATTCAACAGACTAACAAACAACTAATTGATAATTAATCTTTTTTATCTGCCAGTTCAACATTGTTAGCTGCAATTACCACATGGCATGATGTTTAGATATGGTTAACGTGAAGATTGCTTATTTGGTGGACTGGAGATTCATAGAACCTCTGAGTTTGTAGCTGGTGTTTTACTTGCTTGGAAATGTGAAAATTTGAAGTACTTTGGAATAATGTTAGTACTCCTTAAGTACTGCTTCGGTTGCTTGAAAATGTGAAAATTTGAATATTTGGAATAATCTTGGTATTCCTTAATAACTGCTTTTGATGCAAAAGTTTAACCAAAAATTGATAATACTTAACAATTTTTCTTTTTTTTGGCCTTGACATATATATTTTAAGTCTATTGTTTTATATTACACCAGTCCTCTGGGTTGGATTCTTTGTGAATTAATAGAAGCAATAGTTCTGAAATTTATTTTCATTGTTCACGTTTTGAGGTAAGTGTCTATTCATTTTATTTTCCTTTTCCGTAATTCTTCGTTCAATGCCCTGTCTTGGTCCTTCTCTTAGATATGCTAGTTTCTCAAGGTATTTTGGTTTTGCTTTAGGTGTTAATCTTTTATTATTTATCATGTTATAAATTGTTGTTGTTATTAAACTAGAGTCCATGCTAGTAGGGTTGGTTATGTTACAAATTTATATATGGCTGGGGGATTGTTTACTTTCCATGTGTGTATGGGGTCTTGATCCCTCTTCCTTGTACAGAGGAAAAAGAGTCTAAATGCCATTCTGCTGACCACTTTTATGCTTTGACTGGTAAATCTTCCAATTTTTGTTCTTTGTTATCATTTTCTTTAATGGTTTTTACAGAAGAGGGGCAGGATGAATATGAAAATGATGGATTTATAGTAGATGATTTTGAGGATGATGAGCAAGAAGAAGAAGAAGAAGAGAGGGAAGATAGTGATGGGGAAAGGCAAAAGAAGAAGAAGAGAAGGAAGAAAAGGTTAACATGTTCTCATATCATATTTCAAGTTGCTATTTTTTTTCTTATGACTTTGTTTCCTACTTTCCTCATTCTCAGAAATGGAGTGAAGGTGATTTCACTTTGTTAATGACTTCCATTTCAAAGTTTTTAGGGAAGAAGAGAGGCTTGATGAAGAGGATTATGAGCTTCTTCGTGAAAATGATGTTAATGTCACTCTAACCAAGGTTGTGAAATTTGGTTTCATCCTTATTTCCCATCCAAAAAAAATATGAAGGATAACCTTTGTGGTGTGGTGGTCATAATTTATGTGGTTTTGGACTTAAATTTTTTAGGGGAGCAAAAAATTTAAGCGGTTAAAAAAGGCTCAGAGGGACTCTGATGAGCGGTTTGGGCCTTCTGATGAGGAGTTTGATGGAAGTGGAAAGATTGGAAGAACTGCTGAGGAGAAGGTTAAACGCAGCTTATTTGGTGATGATGAAGGTATATAACATATGTTCTTTTTTCATTTTTTGATCATCATTGTAGTTTGGATGTAGTTTTAATTCACTGGTGATGTTTGTGAAATTTAGGAGCACCGCTTGAAGACATTGCTGAAGAGGAAGAGCATATTGAAGAAGAGTATGCAGATATTGGTGATGAGGATGAAATGGCAGACTTTATTGTAGATGAAGAAGAAGTGGATGAGCATGGAGATCCTGTGAGGTATTATATATGCAGTGCATTCACCATGCTGTGTTTTCTAAGTTGGAACTTGGGATTGCTCCCTAAGAGTTGGACCTGTTGTGTAGACGGAAGAAGTTGAAGAGAAAGAAATCCAGGCAGGCACCAGGAGTTTCATCATCTGCTCTACAGGAAGCACATGAAATATTTGGTGATGTTGATGAACTCCTGCTGCTTCGCAAGCAAGGCTTAGATTCTGCTGAATGGAGGGAAAGTAGACTTGAAGATGAATTTGAACCTGCTGTTCTTTCTGAAAAGTACATGACTGAAAAGGACGATCAGATTCGGATGGCTGATATTCCAGAAAGAATGCAGTTATGTTGAAAATTCTATGGAATTATGCATATATTCTTTATTTCCTTGATCCATTGTTATCATCTTCTTGTAATTCTGCAGATTTTTGAGGAAACCACTGGGACTCCCCCAATGGATGAGATCAGCATGGTTGAAGAAAGCACCTGGATATATAATCAACTTTTGGGTGGTGCAGTACCGTTATTTGGTAATGAAGTGAAGAATATAAACGGGAGTGACTTGGCTGGTAAAATAAAAATAAACAGGGATGATATCTTGAAATTTTTGGAGCTATCACACCTGCAGAAGTTAGATGTAAGTAATTTCAGTTTTCAGTTATAAACCTGCATCTTTCAGCCTGATCCTCTTTTCTTAGTATCCTTGCATTTTCTTGCTTTCAGGTCCCCTTTATTACTATGTACCGCAAGGAAGAATGTCCAAGTCTACTTAAAGATCTTGACCAAGAGGAAGAACATGGTAATCAGGATAAATCCAAGACACCTAAGATAAGGTGGCACAAGGTTATTGGACTGGTCATGGAGCTGACATCTTTTTGATTTTCCCTGTCAAGTTTATGAAGAAGAGAGTGACATCTGCAAGTAAACTTATATTATATCATACTTCTTTGTCAGGTACTTTGGGCAGTTCGGGACCTGGACAGAAAATGGTTGCTCCTTCAGAAGCGAAAGATTGCCCTTCATTCATACTATAACAACCGATTTGAAGAGGAATCTAGGCGGATATATGATGAAACAAGACTTAACTTAAATCAAAAACATTTTGAGTTCATTCTTAAAGCTCTCAAGGCTGCTGAATCTGAAAGAGAAGTTGATGATGTTGATGCTAAGTTTAACTTGCATTTCCCCCCTGGCGAGGTCGGTGTGGATGAGGGGCAGTATAAGAGGCCCAAGAGGAGATCACAATATGGTATCTGCTTCAAAGCTGGTTTGTGGGAGGTTGCAAACAAGTTTGGTTATAGTGCTGAGCAACTTGGTTCAAAGTTAATGTTGGAAGAGATGGTGAGTTTGCTTTTAATTGCTGATTTTATTGTATTTTACAGTTGTGTAATTTATTTCCTTGCTTTGTTTGCTTCTAGGGTGGTGATGAATTGGAGGATGCTAAGGAGACACCAGAGGAGATGGGTTCAAACTTCACATGTGCAATGTTCGAAACTCCTCAAGATGTCCTTAAAGGAGCCAGGCATATGGTATGCATGCTTGCTTGGCAATAGCATCATGTTCTAATATTTGTCTACTAATTTGTCTTTTCCTTTACCAAGGCTGTGGTTGAGATTAGTTGTGAGCCATCCATCAAAAAATATGTTCGCTCTTTGTATATGGAGAACACTGTAGTGTCAACCAGTCCGACTGCTGATGGAAATGCAGCAATAGATTCTTTCCACCAGTTTGCAGCTGTAAAATGGTTGCATGAGAAGCCACTGAGTGAATTTGGGGATGCACAATGGCTCCTTATCCAAAAGGCTGAAGAGGAGAAGCTCCTTCAAGTTCACTTTAAGCTGCCAGAAGGGCATTTATCTAAATTGATAAATGAGTGTGATGTTCATTACCTTAGTGATGGTGTTAGTAAATCTGCTCAGCTGTGGAATGAGCAGAGGAAGTTGATACTGCAGGATGCACTTTTTGGTTTTCTTTTGCCATCGATGGAGAAAGAAGCAAGATCCTTGTTGGCAAGTAGAGCCAAGAACTGGTTACTTCTGGAATTTGGAAAGGCTTTGTGGAGTAAAGTTTCAGTGGGGCCGTATCAAAGGAAGGAGAATGATATTAATTCTGATGAGGAAGCTGCACCACGTGTATTGGCCTGCTGTTGGGGCCCTGGAAATCCAGCAACTACATTTGTGATGTTGGATTCATCGGGGGAGGTTCTTGATGTGCTTTACACTGCATCCCTTATTTTACGTTCTCAAAATGTTAATGATCAGCAACGTAAGAAAAATGACCAGCAACGTGTTTTGAAATTCATAAATGATCACCAACCTCATGTTGTTGTTCTTGGTGCTGTGAACTTGTCCTGTACAAAGCTGAAGGATGATATTTATGAGGTTAGCATTTCCATGTCGTGCCCTTCACAACTCTTATGGAAATGGTTTTCTTCAGAAGTTATGAGTTTGTGGATTTGTTATCGAAGCATTTGGATTTTCATATTGCTAGGTGAATTGACATGATGCTTTACATACATGGGCTTAACCTATGAGGTCAATAATGCCAGTGTTTGGTTGCTTGAAACGTTGCTAATAGTGGTGCCTAGTAATTATTCAAAATGATTGTGTTTGTTTGAGACAATTTAAAGTTGTTTTTCCCCTTCTCTTCTTCCTTGGTTCTACTTATTCTGGGGATTTAAGAAGTAAAACATCGATTTTAACTTTCTTGATCAGGTAGCCTTTTCATTACAAAGATTATGGAGTTTAAATGACAGGAAATTTGATTTAAATGTGTTGTGGGTTCTTTACCCTTGAAAAAGAAAGTCTTGTTCATGTTTGTTATCCAATCTTCATCTACTTTTGCCTCCAGGATTCATAGCCTTTCCAATGGCTTTATGTGCTAGAAGGATTAGGTTGTTTTGTTTTGAGTTACTTCTATTAGGTTTGAAATAATGCACACAAAATCAAACCTTTGCATTGGTATCAGTTGCCTAAGCTCTATTTTGATCATGCACTGGACAATCACCAACTGAGCTATGGAGTATAACACTGTGCAAAGTACATGTTAGCCTGTAAATCTTAATCTTGACAGCTTGTAAAAGCCTTTTTGTTTCCTTTTTCTTTGGCCATAAAGCATTTTCATTTCTATTGTGCTAGTTATTGTCAATAAATTGTAGATTACAACCTTTGTAATCATTACTATTCTTGATGGAGGACTGAGTTATGAGAGTTATTTCATTTTTTGTAAGGGTAATTGTAGGTATGATGTTGATAACAGTTATAATGTATTTTAATAAATTTGATATATTTTTCTTAATTTCTGTGGTGCTCATTTAGTTAAAACTTGCCTTTACCAGATCATATTTAAGATGGTGGAGGAAAATCCTAGAGATGTCGGGCATGAGATGGATGATCTAAGTATTGTGTATGGGGATGAATCTCTGCCCCATCTATATGAAAATTCTCGGATTTCATCAGATCAACTGCCTGGGCAGTCAGGTATATATGTACCATCCTCGACAATGGTGCTTTACATTCCCATCCTTCTCATATTTATTCATCAATGAACAATTGTTCTCATCCTTTTTTTTCCCCTTTAAATTTTGGCAGGCATCGTTAAACGGGCAGTAGCCCTTGGGCGATATCTTCAAAATCCATTGGCAATGGTTGCAACATTGTGTGGACCTGGAAAGGAGGTTTTATCTTGGAAGCTTAGTCCTTTAGAGAACTTTCTAACACCAGATGAGAAGTATGGAATGATTGAACAAGTTTTGATTGATACAATAAACCAGGTGGGACTTGACATTAATTTGGCCATAAGTCATGAATGGTTATTTGCTCCTTTGCAATTTATTTCTGGGCTCGGTCCCAGAAAAGCAGCATTTTTGCAGAGATCCCTGGTAAGAGCAGGAACAATTTTCACCCGAAAGGACTTTTTGCAAGCCCATGGACTTGGTAAAAAAGTGTTTGTCAATGCAGTTGGCTTTCTGCGGGTCTGTCGCAGTGGGCTGGCTGCGAGCAGCAGCCAGTTCATTGATTTGCTGGATGATACAAGAATACATCCAGAATCTTATGTTCTTGCACAAGAGTTAGCAAAATTTGTATTTGATCGTGATGTTGATGGTGATACAAATGATGATGATGATGCGTTAGAGATAGCAATAGAGCATGTTAGAGATAGGCCTAATCTGCTGAGAACTTTTGCTATTGATATGTATATTGATGAATATATTAAAAAGGAGAAACACGATAAACAAGAAAAAAGGGACAAACGCGAAAATAAGAGGGAGACTTTTTATGATATAAGAAGGGAATTGATGCAGGGTTTTCAGGATTGGCGTAAACAGTATAAAGAACCAAGTCAAGATGAGGAGTTCTATATGATCTCAGGTGAATCAGAGGATTCACTCGCTGAAGGCCGAATTGTGCAAGCCACCGTACGAAGAGTGCCAGGTGGAAAAGCTTTCTGTGCACTTGAATCTGGACTGACTGGGGTGCTTATGAAAGAAGACTACTCTGATGATTGGAGGGATATTGTTGAGTTGACTGATAGGTTGCATGAAGGTGACATTCTGACCTGCAAGATTAAATCAATTGAAAAGAACAGGTATCAAGTTTTCCTGGTTTGTAAAGAGAGTGAAATGGGAAACAACCGATATCAGAACACTCAAAATGTTGATCCATACTACCATGAAGACCGAAGTGCTCTAGAGAATCAGCAGGAGAAAGCTCGCAATGAAGATTTGGTAAAGAAGCATTTTAAGCCGAGGATGATAGTCCATCCCCACTTCCAAAATATTACTGCTGATGAAGCCATGAAGGTAAATTTGCACTTATGCTTGCATTCTCATTTTAGTTCAGGCTTACTCTTATAAATTTAATTCTGAACCTATCAATAATCATTTAGTAATTAGTATTCTTAGAAATTTAAAACAACTTGAACCTAAGGGCACAATTTTAATTTCCACAATGTTTATACTTATAGGCCAAAATGGAACCTGGTTGTTTTATGCTGCAAAAATTACTTAATTTACAGTCATCATGTATGCAGTTCAAATGTTGAAATCAATTACCCATGCATTTAAGGTTTTTAATTCTAAGGTATTTGACTTTGTTATATGGTTTTAAAACTCTCCCCTTTTTTTAAATGTTTGACAGTATTTGTCTGACAAGGAACCTGGAGAAAGTATTTTCCGTCCCAGTCTACGTGGACCTTCTTATTTGACTTTGACTCTTAAAATTCATGATGAAGTTTTTGCTAACAAAGATATTATTGAGGGTGGGAAGGAGCATAAGGATATAACCAGCCTACTTCGTATTGGAAAGACATTAACAATTGGGGAAGACACTTTTGAGGATCTGGATGAGGTCAGCCTTTTTATATTGTTTTTAGAGCTAGCATTGTTGTTGAATCTGTTAGATAATATTTCACTCAGCTTGCATCATAAGGACTGGTGTTGGTTGACTAGCTGTTGATGTTACATGTGCTTCCCTTCCAGCTTAGCTTTTAGCTGTTGACTATCTGCTGATGTTATATGGTTTCTAATTATATTTTATTTTACTTTTATTGTATTTCTGGCTTTCTGGGTCTTCTGCTTGGTATATATTTTCCCTTTCAATTTCTTTTTAGTTGCCTGCAATACTAAGTTTTTCTAAAGGAGTGTGTAAGATATCAGTATGCTTTGTCCAAGCACAGTTTTGAGGTATTACTGTTTGACCAGTTTTGACTCTAATTTCAAATTTGATTAAATCAACATGTTCTGGTACCAAAGGTAATGCAGCCAAGAAACTTGGAGAAGTTGCAGGTAAATTCCAGGGTTCCTGGGGGGGTGATAGGGACGGAAATAGATAAAATATCAGGGTTGAATTTGGGATTGTTCACTTCCTCAAGATAATAACAAATTCCAGGATCATAATGGAGGAGATTTATACTAGAAAAGAAAAGACTACTTATTTGCACATCCAAATGCATCCAAGAATCTTGTCTTAAGAAAATGTATAATTGACACACAATACTGAAATCCATTGACTAATTAATTAAAAATTCTTGCTTTAATAGGGTAAGATATCTGTTGAGTTTTCACGACTGATTCTTGTTGCTGGTATTTCATTTTGAATATATGCATTCATCGATAGAGCTGGTTGGCCTTGGATGTTTGGGTCATATCTATGATGGTAGAAACAAGCAGTGTATCAGACAGTTCAAATCTGTTCATTGTTCAGATTTTTAAAATTAGAGAGGCATGAAAATATCTGCTTTATGATGATAATTTACATGAATCTAGTGTGGTGGATTATGCGGCAATAAATTTACATGCCAACATTGACTGCTTTGGGACATGCAGGTAATGGATAGATATGTTGATCCCTTAGTGGCTCACCTGAAGGCAATGCTTAGTTATCGCAAGTTTAGAATGGGAACTAAAGCAGAAGTTGATGAGTTCCTAAGAATTGAAAAATCAGAGTTTCCAATGAGGATAGTTTATTGTTTTGGCATTTCTCATGAACATCCAGGCACATTCATTCTGACCTACATACGGAGTACAAATCCTCACCACGAGTATGTTGGCCTTTATCCCAAGGGATTCAAGTTCAGGAAAAGGATGTTTGAGGACATCGATCGTCTTGTTGCATACTTCCAGAGGCATATTGATGATCCCCAGCATGAGTTAGCACCATCGATCAGATCTGTTGCAGCAATGGTACCAATGCGAAGCCCTGCAACTGGAGGCTCCTCAGGTAGTGGCTGGGGTGGTTCAAGCAGTGAGGGTGGGAGGAGAGGTCGATCTTTTGACAGGGATCAATCTTCTACACCAGTATCAAGAACAGGTAATAGCATGTGTACCTTTTGGGGGTTATGTCAATGGTCCAGAGGAAGTCTACTTGGTAATACAAATTGAGTCACTGTGTTTTTTTTTTTTTTTTTTTTTTTTTTTTTTTTTTTTTTTTTT